GAAAGAGAGTAAGGGGTCTGTATAACCTAGAAAAAAAACATATATTTTTAGAAAACGTAGGGACAAGGGGTTGTAAGATTTCCACTGTCTAATCAATAATCAAACACGCACGCATACACGAACCACATGCACACACAAGCTTGTAGGTGTAGTAGCACACTCAATAGTTGACATCAATACATTCGGAGTGTACGGATGCATTCGTAAAGAGCATGATATTTCACTGCTCAGGCTACTGGTGGAGTATAAGGACTGCTATGTGTATGAAACTTTGATAATTTACTTGGCCATATAAAGATGCACACGAGAAAAAATTTCAAGTTCTTTATAGTCAGTTCGTGTAATATACGTGCATCACAACGAAGGTTTCAAAGAAAGTATAAAAATCAGCAAAGTCAAAGCCATATAAAGATGCACACGAGAAAATTTCTCAAGTTCTTTAAAGTCAGTTCGTGTAATATACGTGCATCACAACGAAAGTTTCAAAGAAAGTATAAAAATCAGCAAAGTCAATAGTTGACATCAATACATTCGGAGTGTACGGATGCATTCGTAGAGAGCATGATATTTCACTGCTCAGCTACTGGTGGAGTATAAGGACTGCTATGTGTATAAAACTTTGATAATTTACTTGGCCATATAAAGATGCACACGAGAAAATTTCTCAAGTTCTTTAAAGTCAGTTCGTGTAATATACGTGCATCACGAATGTTTCAACGAAAGTATAAAAATCAGCAAAGCATCCAGGCTATTTAACATCATTTGCACCAATGTTTTCGGTTGTACACCAGCATTTTCTTCGACGGTAGTGTGTCTCCGGTGAAGCTTAAGAAGGAAGCCTACAATCAAATAGCATCATACGCAATTGCGACCTTTCAAGTTCTAGACAACAAAGTCCATGGTACCACAAGAGAAACGTTAGAGCTACTGTTTTGGACTTGTCTACGAACTTGGGAGATGACCCTCATAGAAATCGGCTGTTGCCCAGCTTAAGAAGGAAGCCTACAATCAAATAGCATCATACGCAATTGTGACCTTTCAAGTTCTAGACAACAAAGTCCATGGTACCACAAGAGAAACGTTAGAGCTACTGTTTTGGACTTGTCTACGAACTTGGGAGATGACCCTCAAAGAAATCGGCTGTTGCGTAACGATGCGATGCGAGGAGTGGGATGCACTTTACGAAGCAGGTAAAGCAATTCAAAGAAGGAGAACTTTGGCCTATGATTCAGATTTTCTGGTGTATGACTATGGTGTGGACAAATGTTTTGTATTGGGTACTTAAGCGGAAAGGGGTATACCACTCTCTTTCTGTCTCGGTATATACTTAACGCAACAATACACACTCTTTATC